AGTGTTGGTTTAGGGGACTGGAGAGAGGGAGGGAAGACAGACTTCTCAGAGAAGCAGTAGTGAACACATGGGGTGCCTGCAGCAGCAGGGGGCGGGGGGGGCGGCGGAGAAGGAGGAAGGTAAAAGGTGATCTGGCCCTAAAAGAGAAGTCCTGGCTTCCAGGCATCCAGAGATGAGAAGCAGTGGGGCCTCCAGCTGACATAAAGACAGAGGCTATTCATGCTCACATTTTATCCTACGACTGCTTCACGTATTTGGAAAAAGATACATTTGTGGATGAAAAAGATGGACTGTGTGGCGCTGCCAGGAATTATGTAACGTCCTTTGGTTTTTATATGGTGCTGCCCTCAGGAATGTGTGTTCATTGGGGTTTAAGCAGAGACCGTTTGAACCCCCACAAGGTCATGAAACGAATGGTTATTAGCACAGCTGAAATAGCAACGAGGAACCTCAAGAGTGCAGAGAAAGGAACCAAAGTTTGATTCTATGAGGTCATGATGAACTCAGCGTCTGACAGGGACACGCTGAGGGAGGCCGCTAAGGCTCAGCCCAGAAAGCTGCCTGTGAGTGGTGAGCCAGCCCCCAGGCGGGTGCTGCCCCTCTCCCTGGAGAGGACTAGTCGCCCAATTTACTCCCCGCTGAAAAGAAGCAAGGACAGCCAGAGCCTCTCAGCGTCTAAACATTGACCTCTGTTGGCCAGTTGTGTCGTTGCAGTGTTTTTGCAAATAGACGGCAAACACGGAACTAGTTATTCATTGACAGTTAATGAAGAAGTCACAGGGAGGGATTTTTCCTTCGAAGTATATATGGCCGTGTCTGTTTTCTTGAAATTCCCTTAGAGAGGAGCCTCATCTATCTCCAAGCACGCAGTCAGTGCTGATGGGTGCTGCGTTGGGCATGCTCAGTACAAAGCTGATGACCTGGTTTCATGTTTGCCTTCCCTCTGTAAACACACTGCAAGGCGTGCACCTATTACAGGCCAGAAAGCATCCTAGACTCTGGGCATGGAAAGATGAGCAAAACGGACAAAATCTCCACCTTTGTGGAGCGTATAGCAGTGATGGCAAACCTATGACACGCGTGTCAGAGGTGACACGCGAACTCATTTTTTTGGTTGATTTTTCTTTGTTAAATGGCATTTAAATATATAAAATAAATATCAAAAATACAAATCTTTGTTTTACTATGGTTGCAAATATCAAAACATTTCTATATGTGACACGGCACCAGAGTTAAGTTAGGGTTTTTCAAAATGTTGACACGCCGAGCTCAAAAGGTTCGCCATCATTGGCATATAGTCTTGTGGGAGTTTGGGGAAAGAGGTGAAACAAATAGCATGAGTAAAACAATAATGCATCGAAAGATAGTAAGTGCTATAGGGGAAAACAAAGCATGGTAGAGAGGGCAGGAAAGCTAGGGATGGGGTGTTGTTATTTCAAGCAGGGTGGACAGCGAAGCCCTGGGAAGGGCAACGGAAGGCGACAGTGCACAGGGCAGACGGGATTCCAACTACAGGAACTAATGTGGATACAGACGCAGAGGTGCAGGTGCAGTTAAAGGACCAGCAGGAGACAGGTCACTGTGGTGCAGTGAGGAGGGGGCATGCAGACCGCGGCTTGTGCATGGTGCTTGTCCTCCCAGTGAGAGGGAGCTGGCTTGGCCAGGACAGGGGCAGTAGAGGCAGTGAGACGTGGTCTCATTCTAGGTAAACTTGGAAGAGAGGACAGACAGGATTTGCTTTGTGATTTGATGAGTGTAGTATGAAAGAGCCGAGTCAAAAGTGATTCTGGGCCCTTGAATGACTGGAATAAAGGAAGTGCCATTCACGGAGATGAGAAGAGCCTAAGAGGTGCCAGTGGGCAGGGGCATATCAGGAGGTCTGTTTTGGACACATTGCATTTGCGTTACCCCTAGGTAGCCACGTGGACATCATGAGATTACATGGTGGCCGGGATCCAGGTGTGCCTTGTGAAGTTACTTGTTTTGCACGCATGTTGTCTCCCCACTGAAGCAAGAGCTAGGTCTTAAACAACAGGTTCTCTTCTGCAGTCCTTCACATTTAGCAGGTGCTCAGTGTGGTTACTGAACTTTATTACAACTGCAAAACCTGGAGTGGGAACACGTGATCAGCAACATTGGAAGCACTCAGCACCATAGGGGAGACCTGCTTGGGCCTCAAATTCAAGGAACTCACAGCCTCCCCGTTCCAGTTTAAAGTAACATCCTGTCACAAAATCCCACCAAGTCTGTTTCTGGCCAGCACAGTAGCCATCAGCACAGATAGCATGTTTTGAGGTAGATAAGTCTTCTCCAAGGGAATTTCAAACAGACCTAACTACATATACTCTTCCTGAAAAATCCCTCCGTATGGTTTCTCCATTAACTGTTAATGGTCAGTTAACCTTTAGGAATGTTTATGTCCTTCTGATAAACCTAACTATGAAATACACAGATTGGTTATGGATATTTTAGTATCCTTTTCTGAGATATGTCCAATGAGAGTTTAACTTTCACCAAAGAAAGGGAAAATACTTACTTTAGTTGACATACATGCAAACCCAAAAAAAGTATATTTTCTAGATAATTCAGGTTACATATAGTCAGGAGGGAAATGTCTGAGGATAAATATTAGTGAGGATGAATAATCAGTGAGGAGAAAAAGTAGCATTTGGCATGAGCTATCCAGTCCACTGTTTACAACAATCACATTATCTGAATAATCTTTCACTGTTGGTTTGTGTAGACTCACCTGAGGATGTGTGTGTGGCATCTTTTCCAGGATGTCAGAGCTCCTTTGGGAGGAGGCAAAGCCAGAATTTAGGAAGAAGGGACCAAAGACAAGCCTTTGAAGTGGTGGAATATATCGTCCCAAACCTACCCAAGTTAAAATAAATTCCTTTATCATCAGCTCTTTTTAGTGCATATCTTAAATATTCTCTCCCTCATCACTTTTCTTTCATGACTTGTTAGGTAGGCTGTTCAAGCTACAGACGACCTCATGGTATTTAATTCTAAGACCTGCCTTGGGAGTGTTGAGATGAGGGAGTAATGAAGGGCTTTCAAATGCCCCCAAACTTTATGGAGTATATAATTGGAAGCATATGCATCTACATCACAGCCTTTGGAATAATCAGTAGTGTTACTTGTTATAAAGGCCTTGAAAACATTTCTTCTCAATGAGTCTGTAGATACTGGGTAACACGTAAAAGTCTCAGATAGACTTGTCTATGAATATGCAGTAGACATTGTTTTCAGAACATGGAATATTGGCTGCTCTGAGGAGTGTGTACAGTATGGCTCACACACCAAGAAAACTGTCAACTGATAGGTATTAGGCTTTCTGTCGGCAAGGAGACAGACTGCCCGAATCAGGGGATCATCCAGGAACATGCAAAGCCAAAAAGGCCAATATGTTTGCAAATAGGGCTTCCAGTATTATGAATGTCACATGACCTCTGACAGCTGTTAGGCAGGGATAAGCAAACAGTGAGTCTGGTAGATTCTTAGGAGATATTTATACTTCAGAACTTTGTTTTTATGACTTGGAAATACAGTTTAAAAATCCCCACTTGAAGAAGGATTGGTTCCTCTGCTCAGTTTGTGATGTTAATGGCTCTAAGAGGTTTGGGGCAGGATTTAGGAGCCAGCTCCAGGGTGGCCCTCCCACTTGGAACTCAGTGGTCATCCCCATCTGATACTGTAACTTGTATGATTGTTCATATGTATATGCAAATATATGTGTGCGAGATATAAATGTAGCTCTGTAATTGAATAGCAGCCTCATCACACATTTATATGGGGAGACTAGAATTGTATGAGTAGGTGTAAGGCAAACACTATTTCACAATTTTCTGTACCATGAAACAAACCATGAGTTCCTGCCATTGGGATCCTGTTTGTTTCAAGTGACATTCACCACTGTTTGGGATAGTAGGAATGTCAAGTTCATCTCTCTTAGTGGTATTATATCTCTGTTCATAGAGGCAGAGATGGGGAAAAAGAAAAATGGGTTGGGAGACCAAAGAGACTGGATTAAATCCCAATTCCATCAATTCACAGCTGTGACATTAAGCAACTGATTTAATCTCTCCGAGACTATAATTATAGTTCCCTATTTATAAATTAGAACAACAATGCTTTTTTCACTAGTATATTGTTAGCATTAAACAAAAGGCTTTTTGTAAAGTTTGTATTGTAATGTTCAACAGATAGTAGGTACTCAAAAAATGTTAACTTTCTTTACATTTTTAAAATATCCCGGAACCATGAAATGTTCCCCAGATGATATTCACATTGATATGGGCTCATGCTCACACACTATAGTAGTAGGCATGCGGCTCACAGGCTGAGAGTTTTACATGCTTGTTGTAGATGAACCAGGTACTTGAGATGTATATGTCACATTAACCCTCTCCCAGCAATGTTCTCCCCTCAAACCTCCCCCGATTCTGCTTCCCCTAAATTCCTAGGGTACACATTCATTTATCCAATAGATATGAAGCCTCAATTATGTGCCAGGTACCCCCTTTAGGAGCCAGAGATAGGGTGATTAACACATAGTGCCTCCCTCGTGGAGCACACACAGTCCAACTCAGACCCACATCAGCCCTGTCGCACAGAGAAGAGTCTTGTCCCATGAGCTAATCAAGCACAAGGCCAGTGCCTTGCTCAGTGCTGAACACTCAGATGTTCTTTCATCCTTGGGGGTCGACGGACTTGTTTTCACAGAGCCCAGGCCTAGAACTGATACTCAGTAAAATGATATTTTGAGTGCTGAAGGGACTTTTACACTGGCTTCTGCCCAACATCTGCATACGGTAAGTACAAATACAGCAGAAAATTAAGAGCCTCGTTAGTGTGTGTTAGCGGAGGAGATTTGTGGAACTGTCTCATTTTGCTCCATTCAGCTGATGTACTGCACGTGTGTGAAATAAAACCCGAATAAAAGGTTTCACTTACTTCCTTTCTGTCTCCCCTCTCTGTCTCTCACCGTCCCACAGGTCAGCGTGGAGGTGTTGGTAGAGTACCCTTTTTTTGTGTTCGGACAGGGCTGGTCGTCCTGCTGTCCAGAGCGAACCAGCCAGCTCTTCGATTTGCCGTGTTCCAAACTCTCCGTTGGGGACGTCTGCATCTCGCTGACCCTCAAGAACCTGAAGAACGGCTCGGTGAAAAAGGGCCAGCCCGTGGATCCCGCCAGCGTCCTGCTGAAGCACGCCAAGGCCGACGCCCTCGCGGGCAGCAGACACCGGTACGCGGAGCAGGAGAACGGCATCGGTCAGGGAAGTGCCCCGATGCTCTCCGAGAACGGCGAACTGAAGTTTCCAGACAAAATCGCATTGCCTGCAGCGCCCTTGCTCACCAAAACAGAACCCAGCAAGCCCGCGACCACGAGGAAGAGGAGGTGGTCGGCGCCGGAGACCCGCAAACTGGAGAAGTCGGAAGACGAGCCGCCTTTGACTCTCCCCCGGCCTTCGCTCATTCCTCAGGAGGTGAAGATTTGCATCGAAGGCCGGTCCAACGTGGGCAAGTAGGCGCGGCGGCGTGGCGTGGGGAAGGAATTCGGCCCTCCCTTACCATTTGTATCCAGATTACTGTACTGTAGGCTAAATAACACAGTATTTACATGTTATCCTCTTCCTTTAGGTTTCTGTTCTTACCTTGTCGTTAGAGTTACAGCTGGTGTTGCGCAGGAGACGGTGCATATGCTTTTTCCACGAGTGTCTGGCCGTGGGCGAGCGGGGGCCAGCACGGGCGGCGCGGCCATGCGCCCGGTGGAATGAAAGTGGCTTTGGAGTGGCTGCCTTTTCTAGCAGTGCCAGAAGCATCCGCTGGGCGCTGACTTCTGCTGGTTTCATGAGGAAGTTCCGGGAAGGGGATTGCAGGGGTGTGCGTGCGAGCGTGGGGAGCGAGGGCAAGGGGTGTGGGGGGTGCAGCAGGGGTGCCACAGCAAGCGAGGGTCTTCTCTCTGCCTCCCCCTGTCTCAGGCTCTCAACACGGGGTTGCAGCTCCAGAGACACGTCCTCAGGAGGTCTCACGTACAAAAGAAATATCAGGAACCCAGCCTCAGGGCATCCTAGAGAGGATGGAAAGCTAACCCTGTAAAAGAACATTTTTCCCCCCTCCAACATATTTTACAATAAAAGCAACTTTTAATCATATAGATATGTATTTCCCCCTATGGGGCCTGACTGCACTGATTTTTTTTTTTAAGAGCAACTGCCACCCGTGGGATTTCGTTTCTGCTTCGCTAGTGCAGTGCTGTCTTGGGGTGTCTGGTGGGCAGGGCCGCCCTGGCTGCGTGGCTCCCCGAGGGTGCGGGGCAGCGGGGTGGAGCGCGAACGCCCACTCTGGTTCTGTGCAGTGTTAGGAAAACCGATCAGGTGGTCGCATTGACTTCCTCCCAAGAGACAGGTGGAGCTGCCCTTCAGAGAGCTGCGGCAGCTCTTCACCTTGGGTTTGCAAATCTTTTGTCTTTTAACTCTAGTACTGTTTATAGTTCATGACTATGGACGACTCGGGTGCCACTTTTTTCAGATTCCAGTGTGACGTGAGGAATTGGATTTTGAAGATGAGCATATATATTGCTATCTCTAAGCACTTACAATGCTGTTCACACTTTATTACCAAGCATCTTGGTCTAGCATTCAACAAGTACTGTATCTCACTTTAAAGTCTTTGGGAAGAAAAAACAACAACAACAAAAAACTAAGTTGCTATCTTTTTTCGACACTGTAACTGCATTTCAGCTCTGCAGAGTTTCTCACGGCAAGATATTGACAGTTTCAATGTGGTTTAAAAGAATGAATGTGAATCATGAACCAGTATGTGACAATGAATGACCACCCAGTGCAGCCTGGCCGGAAGGCACTTTCACTTTGATGTTTGAGAAAGGATTAAAGGCATATGCAGAGCTGGCAGAGTAACTGAGAGAAAAGGGATGGAAAAAAGAATACTCATTTTTGTCCAGTGTTTTTCTTTTTATGACGAACTTTTAAAGAACCTTGCGATTTGCACATCTTGAGTTCATAATTTGTGTGATATTCCTGCAGTTTTTATCCAATAACATTGTGGGAAAGGTTTGGGGGACTGAACGAGCATAAATAAATGTAGCAGAATTTCTTTCTAACCTGCCTAAACTCTAGGCCATTTTATAATGTTCCTTTCAAAATTTATTTTGGTCTTTCTACCACATCTGTCACAAAAACCAGGTCTTTGGCAGGACAACTCTGAGAATTTTCTTCAGATTCATTGAGAGAGTTTTCCATAGAGACATTTATATATGTGAGCAAGTTTTTTTTTTTTTTTTAATTCATTATTGTTGTTGTTAATGTTTTTTCAGAATGACTTTTTTTTTTTCATCTGAAATCAAATCAAGATTTGGTGTTTGGTACAAACCCAGAAAGGTATTTCAGAATTTAAACCTTTCATTCCCAGAGAGGTGAAATATTGTTTGTGGGTTTTGAGTTTGCATCTCAAAGTGCTTTAAAAAAAAAGTTTTATAAGTAGGAAGAAATTTTTAATATTCATACTTGGAATGGCTGTAGCTAATCTGAATAAAAACTTCTGATTTTCCTTTCCTCATTGAGAAATAATACTTTTTTTTCCATTTCACAAATTTAAGAAGTCCTAATGTCAACCCACATTTTGGCTATCTAGTGTTCCTTCACATTTTGTTCTCACCAAGACTAATGAGTTTATAAACCATTTTCTGGAATGTACCAAAAACATTTGAATAGATAGAGAATAGCTAGAGCCGGTCCTTGACTCTATTTGAATTTCATCACCCTCCCTGCATGCTCACAGAGAGTTGGGTGGGTCTATTCTCGCAGTCATAATACTCCTTTAGTGCTGTATTTTTTAAAGCGTTTCTGTTCAGAGAACTTGCTTAATCTTCCATATATTCTGCTCAGGGCACTTGCAATTATTAGGTTTTGTTTTTCTTGTTCTTTTATAACCTTTGGTGGCAAGAGGAATACGGGGCTGCCACACCGACTTTGTCCTCATTGGCACCACTATTTACAGTAGCCACTCCTGTGGACTCAGAAAGACACACACCACCTGTTGGCTTACTTCGAGCATTGAACTAACTGGATCCACAACACCAACACTAAAATGGGAAAATATACATGATTGGAGCAATAGGAACATCATCACCATTTTTGTGCTTCTATTTCAGGTATAGGAATTATAAGAGGATCGGTTCTTTCTCAGCATTGTCCCATTTCACTCCCCTGCTTTTCCAGCATGTGTGCAATACTTTCCATGCCAATAGAGTCTGGTCAGTGTGGTCCAGTTAAAGCTCACACCCTATTGGCTTTTTCCTTGTTTGGAGGGGAGGAGCTAGAAGGGGAGAGCCTCCCACTGCGAGCTCCCCCTGCTGCTGTGGATGCTGAGTGCTGGGCTGGAGCCTTCAGGAGCCCAAGTGTCTGTCGCCACGTTGCAGAAAGAGCAAGCAAAGGAGATCTAGGGGACCAGCTGCAGTTCCGCTGTCACCACGATGAATAGTGAATGTGGAGTGTGTAGAGGAAGGAGGCAGAGTCATTTCTAAGGCGCACTCTGGAGCAATAGAGCCAGCATCAACCCATTTTCCACGCCCTTTTCCGCAAGTGGGCAGGCCCCGCCTCAGGTCTGTGTCCTTGAGACTTTGAGCTGTGCCTCTGAGCGCGCTGGAAGTGATGTGTGTGTGAACTGTGAGCGTGCAGGCCAGTGGCTGTGGAGGGGCCACCTGCCAGCACTGCTCACTCTCCTCTGTGGCAGCTTTCTCTTCAAATAGGAAGAACATCCAGGGGACAGGGAACCTCCTCCTGTTGGCAGACCTTGCTGAACTGAGGCTCCCAGAGCAGCCTTTGTCACCACTTCTGTGTAGCAGACCTGGCAGTGACAGGCGTAGAAAATCTCCGGTGCCCTGCAGCTTATGAGAATCAGCCTTGTGCCTCTGTACCGTGTCCACTTTGCAATATTTGCCTACACTGTCTTTAGCTCTTTCTTTCCTGTTTTCCACTTTTAAACTAATAACAGCAGGCCTTTTGCATTTACAATGGAACACAATCACCAAGAAATTAGCCAGGGTGAAAAGAAAAAAATATATAATAAGAAACCAACAAACAAGAACCTCTCTTTATAGGGATTTCTACTAGTAAATATAGAAAATGACTGTTCCTTCGAATGTTTAACTTAAGAATTATTTCAGTTTGTCTGGGCCACACTGGGGTGCAGATAAAGAGATGGGTGCCACTTACCTCAAACCTTTTGAAGTGGAAATCCAAATTGCATTTTCATTGGGACTTTCAGGATAATTTTCTATGTCAGTCAATTTTGTTTTCCCCAACTCGCCCCGTTTGGTTTGGGATGATTTGATTTTCGTCACTGCTGTTGTCGATCCCCTTTCTGACTCTGCATTGTGACCCTCTGTGTTTTTTGTTGGGTGAGTGTGTAGGGATTCCCCCGCAGGAAGTGGCAGCAGCTTCCCCCTCCCCCCCACCCCCTTCCCCACAGGAACTCTGCGGAACCTTTCACACCTCTTACTCAGGGACGGGCTGGCGTGTGTGTGGTACACTGATGTGCCCGGAGCAGCACTTTGACTGCTCTGGAGTAGGGCTGTACAACTTCGAGGAATGTTTGGATTTCCTGCACCTTGTGGATTACTCCTTAGATCCTGCATAGATCGCAATATAATGCTGCGTGTTCACGAGGAACAGCAGCTCCTAGTAATCATAAATCCACTCTTTGCACATAGTTCGATCTTTACTGAAATATGTTGCCAAAATTTCTTTTTGTTGTAGCTTTGGAATTTTTTTTGTTGTTTGTTTTTTAAGGAAACAATTGACAATACCCTTTAACATCTGTGACTACTAAGGAAACCTATTTCTTTCATAGAAAAATCTCAGTGCTCTTGAAGACACTAATGCCAGGCTATTTCAGATTTGGGTGAAGAAGCAGAGCTCTTGGGACAGAAGGCCAGGCTTTTTGAGCTGTGTTGGTTGTCATGGCGACTGTTTCATGTACCATAAGCAGCTCAACAAACTGTGGCCTGTTCTCTCCTAACCCTTTGCACTTCCTGTTTTCTGGTCACCGTGATGATTCCAGGTGACAACAGGGCCGCCCGTCTCCCTGGCCCAACCCAGCTTCTTTGGCAGATATGAAAGAAAAGGGAATTATGCTTTTTTTTTTATCCTTTAGAGTGGAGTGGAGGCCTTTGCTTCCACTTTTGTGTTTTCAACCCAGGATTTCTGAAATGGAGAATTTAAGACATCAAGTAATAAATATACAGAGAATATACTTTTTATAAAGCACATGCATATGCTGTTGTGTTGGGTTGGTTTCCTCTTTTCCACGGACAGTGTTGTGTTTCTGTTGATAGGGAAACTCCAAACGATTTGCACACCTCTACTCTGGAGCCGAGACTTCTACAGAGATGACCTCGCTTCAAATGTTACTTACTAATGGGATCTTTTCCTGTAGCACTAGACCTTGTGGGAATTTCCTTTTTTTTTTCCTTCTTTTTAATGTACACCTAATCTGAGAAGCTGAAGAAAAGAAATTTTTGAGGCACTCACTTTGAGGAGTACAGGTAATGTTTTAAAAAATTGCACAAAAGAAAAATGAATGTCGAAGTGATTCATTCAGTGTTTGAAAGGTATGGATCTGTTGAAACAATGAGTTTCACACCTTGTTTGTAAAAAAAAAAAAAAGAAGAAGAAGAAGCATAAAGGTTGAAAGTTACTTGTTTTTCTTTGTATATAGAAATTCGTTGCGTCTAAATGATCAGATTTGTATGGTTACGGCCTGGAAGAATTACTGCGTCAAAGGCTCTTCAACTATACCTATGCTTCATTTCTGTTTTCGTTACATAGAGCCCTCCTTCTAAGAGAGGGCAACTCTGTATTCTGCAGTTTGAGAATACTGTTCATTCCTATGCTGAAAGTACTTCTCTGAGCTCCCTTCTTAGTTTAAACTCTTAAGCCATTGCAACTCCTTTTTCTTCAGAAATGATATTTTGACATTTTCAGCACTTCCTGTTCCAATAAACCCAAAGAATATAATCCTGAACAAGAAGTGTTTGTAACAAGGGATCCTAGCTACCAATAAAACAGGACTCATCGTGAGGACAAAAAAAAATGTTCCGCCTTCTTTCCCCCCCACACCTCATTTAAATGGGGGGGGTAAAACATGAAATTCAATTCAAATGCCTCATTTTACTTCAGTTAACTTTTTCTTTATATTGAGGCCAAAATAAATGTGGGACAACTTCTCAGAAAAGTCATATTCTGTCCAAAAATCAAGCCAGCCAGCGGATACTGGACAGCTGTGGGGATATTGAGCAAACCCACCTACAATTCTTACATGCAGAATCTCAGCTGCTCCCTTGCTGTTAAATGCAACATTTCCGGTAGCTGCCATTCACGGCAGGAGGGATCAGTGGCCTCGGTTTTTCAGTTTTTCGTGTCCTCTTGACTTGCATACAAACGGTTCAGCTGTATTAAAATTAAGTGCATTTGGCCAATAGGTAGTATCTATACAATAACAGTCTCTAAGATTTTCCGAAACTTTTCTTATCTGAAAGGACTCGAGTCTTCCACTGCAGATAATTGGAGACTTTGCCCAAGTTTTCTTTCCCTTTAGTTTGTTCGTTTACTGTCTGGATGGCCAATGAGCCTGTCTCCTTTTCCATGGCCAGGCAGAAGGCCTGTGTGGGAAGCGTTGTTTACAGTCATCTTTGCTGAGATAACAGACTGTTCTCTGGAATATCAGGGCTGAGGCGACACTAGCTTAGAGCTGTCGTCTTTAAAAAGCAGGTACCAAGAAGCCAGGTGCGTAGATTTCCTCTGGTTCTCACATGAACCACCTACTCTTAAGTTACTATCTGGCCCAGGAGTGGGGTAGATTCTTTAGTATGTGACCATTAAACTTGACACCTGTGCGTTGGGTTCTGTGAATACTCCCTTTTGGCCTTTGGGTGAGGTTTCTTCGTCCCCGGCCGTCACTGCTCACCTGTCAATCCAAATCAGTGTCAGCTGAAGGGAGGTTTCAGGACAGCAGCCCTCGTCTCCGTGGTGGCCTTCAGTGAGGACAGCCTCCTAACTTCTAGCCAGTGGGGTCCCGGCCCAGAACCATGTCTGAGACCCGTCCTTATGGACGTGTTAATATCTGATCATTCAAACTTCCAACCGTAAGCCTCCCACCGGCCACGGGAAAAGAGACGCCAGAACCGTGGGCACTATCAGACTGACATGGCCAGTACAGAGGAAAACTAGGGAAGGAGTGGTGATTTGCACCTTATCGAAAAGAAAATATTCCGTGCATACATAGTTAAGAGCTTTTATTGTGACAGGAGAACTTTTTTCCATATGCGTGCATACTCTCTGTAATTCCAGTGTAAAATATTGTACTTGCACTAGCTTTTTTAAAACAAATATTAAAAAAAATGGAAGAATTCATATTCTATTTTCTAATCGTGGTGTGTCTATTTGTAGGATACACTCGAGTCTGTTTATTGAATTTTATGGTCCCTTTCTTTGATGGTGCTTGCAGGTTTTCTAGGTAGAAATTATTTCATTATTATAATAAAACAATGTTTGATTCAAAATTTGAACAAAATTGTTTTAAATAAATTGTCTGTATACCAGTACAAGTTTATTGTTTCAGTATACTCGTACTAATAAAAATAACAGTGCCAATTGCAAATGTGTCCTTGCCTTGTGTCAGGTCCTCGAGGAACGCTGAGGCTGAGGCAATGGGGAATTCCTCCTTCCTTACCCATGGTCGGCCGTCACCCCGTGGGTTTGGGGGGCGGCGACATGGGCATTGCCTGTACTAAGGGTGTGGGGAGCAGAGGTCATGATGAGTTTCTGAGACAAACGGTACACTTCAGCATCTGATGCTGTGCCTGGCTCCATTCCTGTTGATTGCTCCTATCTGAATCCCACTGTTTACAAGAGATGATTGTTTCTAAACAGCATTTGGCAGCTTGGTGCGCTCATGTAGCATCATGGATACATTCTGTACAGTTTCACTGTAAACCGATTCGTGGTCTGAAGGCAAAGTTCACTGTAGTTCAAATGTTTCCTGTAGTTATAACTGTTAGAAACGCAACAAGCGGCTGGAGGTGGTGGGGGGGTGTCATCCAGCACATGGAGGGACCTGTTTGTCTCAAGCAGTTGCCCCAGAAAGTGGGTCCTCAAGGACCGGTGACTTTCAGTGACATTTTCCAGCTGCTTGTGTGATGACGACCTCCTAACTGTGAGGCCCTGCAGAGGTGGAGGAAAACTCGGTGTCGTTCGCCCAGGGAGGGGAGGGTAACTCTGCCCTATCTTCCTGGTTAGGTGTTTGGGGACATCTCACCAGACTCTCCTCTCAGGACTTATGTGAGGCCCTGAGCGTTGTGCGTGTCGGTGTGTGACAGGACGTGCACTAAGCCAGCAGTGAGGAGAGGGGCCTCGCAGCCCAACAGGAAGCCTGCTGCGTCCCCTCCTCGCCCAGAGCAGTTTGGGTGGCCGTGCCGTGTGCTGGAGCACGTGTGGGGCAGCAGTCTGAACCGTTGCCTGCCCTGTTTTAACGTTAGATGCTAATGGCTCTGACAAGTTTGGGGTCCAATGGCTGTGAGTCTGACCTGGACTGGTCACACCGATTAGGAAAAGCCTTTGCCTCCCCGGCTGCAGTGGGGAGGCCTTGACACTGTTAAGCACACAGCGGGACCCCGAGGCGGACAGGAGGCACCCAGTTCCCTGGCTCCTTCCCTCCTCACCCGCCACTGCTGCATGGAGGCCTGCACTCAGGCAATAGGGCTGCTTCCATCTGTGTCCCTACATGAGCCTGGTCTGTGGGCTGCTCCCCTGAGGGCTCCCCTACCCCGACTCCTGTTGGAGGCAGAGATGAACTGGCTACCGAGTGGATGCCTTAGAAGCGCTGCTTATTGTGCAGCCTCTGCTTCCAGATGACCCAGCAGAGTGCATGGCTTTTCCTATAACTCAGTTTTCATGTCCCTAAACACCTGAGCGAGGGACCTGCCTTTGGTTGGTTGGTGCAATGAAAGAGCTAGTCTGCAGTCTGCGCAAGACAGATGGCACCAGCAGACATCCTAGCAGAGGGCTACTCACAGGGGCCATTGGGTGACAGGTGCCCCCACCCTGGGCACTCTGAGGGGAGCCCAGGAGGAGACCAGTCTGGGAGGGGATACTGGTAACAGTCCCTTCCCACTGACTACTGCTGGAACATCTTAAGTGGATCCCCTCAGGTCCTCCTTTGCTTCACCTCTCTCCCTCATCCTATATAATAAAGAGGCAATATGCAAATTGACCATCACACCCTCGCACAAGATGGCCGCCCCCATGTGGTCAAAGATGGCTGCCACAAGGTGGCCAGCAGGGGAGGGCAGTTGGGGTGACCAGGCTGGCAGGGGAGGGAAGTTGGAGGCAACCAGGCCAGCAGGGGAGGGCAGTCGGGGGTGACTAGGCCAGCAGGGGAGGGCAGTTAGGGGCAATCAGGCTGGCAGGCAGAAGTGGTTGGGGGCAATCAGGCAGGCAGGCGAGCAGTTGGGAGCCAACAGTCCTGGATTGTGAAAGGGATGACCGACTGCCAGTTTAAAACAGCAGTCAGACATCCCCCAAGGGGTCCCAGATTGGAGAGGGTACAGACTGGGCTGAGGGATCAGGGTGGGGGTCCCCCTGGGGTGCCTGGCCAGCCTGGGTGAGGGGCTGATGGCTGTTTGCAGGCTGGCCACACCTCCTTTAGGGTGGGGGGTCCCCACTGGGGTGCCTGGCCAGTCTGGGTGAGGGGCTGAGGGCTGTTTTCAGGCTGGCCAAGCCCCCCGGCGACGGAAGCTCCCAACCTCTCCTTTTTTTCTTTTTTTATTCTGGGATTTATTTACCTTCTATAATTGAAACTTTGTAGCCTTGAATGTAGCCAGGGTGGGCGGGAAGCTTCGCTTCCTCCATCGCCAGGGGCAATCCAAGCCTCCTGCTCGCTCCAGCTCCGTGGCCATGGCCAGCAGAAGGCAGGTATCTGGGGTTTTTTATCTTCTATAATTGAAACTTTGTTGTCTTGAGTGGAGCTCAGAGCCAGCCACGGCAGGCGGGAAGCTTGGCTTCCTCCATCACTGGGGCAACCAAGCCTCCTGCTTGCTCCAGCCCCATGGCTGCCGGCCGCCATCTTGGTTGGGTTAATTTGCATATAGTCACTCTGATTGGCTGGTGGGCGTGGCTTAAGGCATAGCAAAGGTACGGTCAATTTGCATGTTTGTCTTTTATATATGTGTGTGTGTATATATATGTACATGTATATATATATAAAACTCTAATATGCAAATAGACCGAACGGCTGAACAATCGAACCAGTTGCTATGATGTGTGCTGACCATCAGGGGGCACGCACAGAACATGGTGGGCATCAGCTGTGGTGGGATAGTGGAGCAGGTGAGTGGGGGCACCAAACCAAGGCAGGGCACCAGTTGCTGTCATTGGGGCAAGCCTCTGGTGGTTACTGAAAATTCTTTGCTCCCACGCCGCAGTCCCACTGGGTGCTCGCACCTGCTGCTGGCACTGGCCCCACTTGCACCTGCTGTAGGCCCCGATTACCCCTCAGGGCTTCTCCACCTACCCCTGCTCCTGAGAGGCAATTGGGGCAATAGCCACTCCTTGCACCCACTGATGGCGCTGGACCCAATCACTCCGCGCAGTCAGCGGGTGCGAGCAGGGCCATCAGTGCATGGGAGCAGCGGTGGCGGGAGCGGGGCTTCTGGCAGACAGAGGACGGGGAGCCTCAGTGGGAGGAGCCAGGCAGGGGTGCAGAGGATGGGCCGAGACCCGCCCCTGTGCCCACCGCAGCCTCGCGGCCCAAAGTTCCTTTCAAGGTGCACAAATTTATGCACTGGGCCTCTAGTTTTGCATAAAGAAACAACAAAGAGGAGAGCCAAACACATCTTCCATCTTCCATAGGACGGCCTTGGGCTCACCCCTCCCACCCAGCAGACAGAAAAGGCAGGGTGCCTCCAGCACAGCCCCACATCTTGCTCTGACTACACGTCCTTGACCCCCACATCTCCAAGGTGTTGCCATTCATATTTCCACCAGTACAAGCATCATTCTCCAAGGGTGTGGGGGGAAAGGTATTCCAGTGGAGTTAAAGTTGCTGGTCTTTGACAGTATTGTAAGACTGAAAATGGAACTCTGAGTGTGTGGGATTTGGTTGTTTCCCTCCTACAGTGGACCCTCGGCCCCTCCTTACTCTAGGGCCATCGCTGCCTTTTCAGGGAAAAGTTTACTCCTGTGTCTGCTTCTTCAGAAGTAACACCCTGGTCTGCACACCCTCCAGTCCTCTCTCTCAAATAATTTTTCAAAAGCGGCCAGCCGTCACCAATGCGCCACGTTCACCGCGGACACCGTGCCACAGCAGACACCGTGCCACGGCGGCCGGCTGCAGGGCTCTGCCAGGCCCGGTCCTCTCTCCAGGAAAGCACCGACGTTTCCAGTGAGTTGACCATTATCCAGGAACACTGGCGGGCCTTCCTCCAAAGCATAATCACCAGGAGGGGCCGGTTCTGGTTCTAACTCATATGTTAAACCAATGCTTTTAGGAAGCTGCTAGCCAAGGTGTTTGCTATTTTTTTCGATGGGACTCTGCCTGCTAATTTTTTTGGTGGATAACCTTTCACTAAAATATGGCGTGGAATTTCAAAGTAATGTATAATCTCTTTAAGAGAGCGGCCAGCCAGGCAAGTTGGGATGCAGAAAGGAAGGGGAAGAGGTGGAGAAACGAAGCTAAGTGAAAAACCGGGACAGGGACAGGGGCAGGGACAGCTTCCCAGAAGGCGCACCAACTGGCAGGGGCAGATGACCTGCTCCCCAAAGACTCGGCTAACAAAGGGGTGAAACACATCACCGCCCACTGAGAGTATCAGTGGAAACCAATTCCTCCTCACCCGCCCTTTTGTGCTTTGGTTCTTCTCCAGAAAACGGAAGGAAGCTGGAGGGGGGTGATCTGGTTACCCTGACCTCTCCCCCAGGTGCCTGGACTTAGGGCCACGAGCGAGCGTGTCTGGGAAGGAGGTGGAAAACCCCCAGGTTCCCCTACAACTTGGCTCCTGAAAAGGCAAACTCCCAGACTCAGTAAGTCTTAAGGTAACAGCATTATATTAAAGTGAAACCATTTTCTTTTTAAAAAAGAAAGAAAAAGGTACGAGTGTTAGTTTGAACAATGAGGTTATGAGTTCCAGGCAGCTGGGCTCTGACCACTGACCCTATCAGTGCTCTGCTTCCTGCCCCACCAGAGGCACCAGGGGACCCCAGCGCCTCCGGGTGGCAGCAGGGGAGGCAGCGTCCCGCCGTTCAGGAGCAGCCCGAAACCCAGACGGATGGACGGATGGACGGGGATGTGAACGCAGCGTGTGGAAGCTTCCGTGAGCAGCCGGCACCTGCCCCCAGGTTAGCCGAACACCGTGTTGTGCTGCTGGGTCACTCGGATGAACGTCGTCCTCTTGCTGAGCTCTTTGAGCTTGGCGGCCCCCACGTAGGTGCAGGTAGACCTCAGTCCGCCCAGAATATCCAGGATCGTGTTTTCTACGTCTCCTCTGTAAGGCACTTCCACGGTCTTGCCCTCCGACGCTCTGGGAGAGAAAGGAAGTGCTCCTTTAGCCCCGCTCGTCTTCCTTAGGCACCATTTGTTCTAGCCCCTGAAGCAGCCCCAGGACCCTCGGGTAGCCAAATGCCTCTGAGCCCACGCCCACACTGCCTCACACACCAGGCTGGCCCCGCCCGCACCTCAGATGGACAGGTCCTCCCACCCAAAATGCCTGACCTCCTGCCGGCTGCCCCGAGCACCAGGGAAAGGCATCTGTGAGCAACACTGAGGCTGCAGACCCGGACCTGCCCAACGGCATTCCTCTCGGCAGCGGGCCTCCCCTCTGCCCCATAGAAACTCACTTCACCTTTCTCCCCCACCTGGATCTGCACACCTGTCTCCCGCTGGCCCAGGGCCCAGGGGCAGGAGAGCAGACGTGGGGGATTAACTCCAGGCCAACCCCTGCCACCCCCCCTCTGCTCGCCTGCCCTGATCAACAACAGAAGAAGCCTGGAGCTTCACCCTCCTGCATCCAGATCAGACTCTGAGTGTCTCCAAAGGAGTCAACCAGGAGGAGGAGGAGGAGGAGGCTGCCAATGAAATGAACACCCCTAACCTACCAGGTTATGTGGGCACCTCCACCAGCAAGATGCAGCGGCTCCCCTCCCCTCCAAGGCCTGCCTTTCCAGGGGACAGGGTGCCTTGTCGGGCACATTCCCCCAGCTCACGCCTGCACTCACGCAAGTCATATACCTGTCGTGCTGGGTGTGGGGTAAGGTCCCAGCAAGGTGGAACCAGCGTAGAACTCGGGACTTTTTTTAACACCAAGACGTGAGGGCTTTGGTTGGCATCTTTCCTGCTTTCAGAGGTGCATTCAGAAGCTCAGGTCTAGTACACAGTGCAAGCCCTGAGCAGTATCTGTCCGTGCTGAGTCGGCCCCTCTCCACAAAGCCTCCAAGTAACACTGACTCCACACGTCAGGTCCCCTTCCTGCCAAATGGGGACTGGGTCCAGAAAAACGCTAGCCCCCACGTAAGGGCCAGGCAATCTGGACATTTTAACAATTAAACAAATTGTTACTGGAACTTTCTCTAGCTGGTCTCTCTGCAACTGTTACAATACTACATCTTGATTAGAAACTTACTGCCTAGAATTTCAAAAGGGAATAACTCTTGTACACTGAAATCTACACATGCAAGACTACCCTTGGGTGAAGTCTATGTAGACCATCTACTAGACCAAGGTCTGGCCTAGCGGCTGGCTTAGGGCACTGAGATGATGAAGCAGCAGACTCATGTCACTGCTCTCTGTGACCAGAGACCAGCATCTGTGTACGCGTGCTGCGATGCCTGCCATTTCATTTTCTGAGGCCTGGGCCTTCTGGGAGCTTCCTGGAAATCACTCAGATTCTCATCCTGGTTACAGGTGACAGCACCTTTTGCAAGTCATTTACTGCTGATGCTCAAGTCTTCTCATCTATAAAACAACGGTACTTTGATCTCTCTCCCAAGGATGGGCAGCGTGAGAACCGAATAAATGGTTAATGACTGGGAAGGAACTAGCACAGCATAAATAACGGGTCTTCATTAAAGACAATGTCAAATAGGAGAACCATTCTCACGAGGAGACAATGGTGATGAGGCTGCAAACACCCAGGAAAAGAGAAGGAAGGAGGGAGGGAGGAACAGGGAGGAAGACAGAGAACAGATACAGCCTGCAGGACTCAGCTGCCTTTGGATCAAAGTCCTGATTCCTTCCGTGCGTCTCTTCCTTGTCTAAGATTCGAATCCGCTTTCAGATACGAGTCTTGCTGCACCTGAATATTTTCTCCTGTTGTGTCTGGGCCCTGCTGAAATGACAGGGGATGATTTTTCACTTGGTCCCTTGGGCTTCTGTCGTGCTGGGGCCTCGTCGGGCCTTCCCTGTCTGCTTTTCTTAGGATCCGAAACAGATGCAACAGCTAGAGGGCAAACGATGCACTCCAGGCAAAGCAGCCGGCTGCCGCCCCCCATGGCTCCCCTTACACCCCAGTGCCCAGGAGGCCCACCCCACCTGGGATGTGACAATGGCTGCTGGGAAAGTGGGGAGCTTGGCCAGAGGTCCGGGTTAGCACCGAGCAGCAGTCCCCCCTCCTCCATCAGTCACCACATGGGACAGCGGCCTCGGGCTGCAGGGGAAGGAGTGCGCCTTTGTTCTGACCTTCGGAGGTGGCCAAGTGAAGGTGTAAATGCAGTCAGTCCCCTACTCCTCTTTCCCACCCCGCCTTCCCCATGCTATAATGTTCTATTTATTGAGGTCCTACCAAAAGAGAAAGACCGGTGAGAGTGAGGACTGAAGTCCCCGGTTCCCTACCGAAGAAAGAGCTTGAGAGATGGTGCCCCACACCACCCCTGCCTGCCCGCACGCCCACTGCAAATCTCTGGGAGTCCTGATGTTTTACCTCTGGATTGGTTTGAAGCTTATATGATGCATCTAAATCCCATGTCCTTACAACAAGCGGTTAGGTGTGGCAGGAATGGTCGGACATGGAGGGTGTCGGCCCACAGGGGCTTGGGTTCCCTCCCAGTGCCGAGGCTTCCTGGGGAAAGGCAATCAGCCCCCCACAGAGGACTTCCTCCTGAGGACACAGGACCTCGTCCTGCCCCCTCCGTGTGCCCTGGCATCAGCGCCAACCCCACTAAGGGCACCAGCAGCCTCTCTGGAGCAAAGCAAGGTCACGGGTATGTTGTCATATAAACACACATGCAGACAACAACATGGAAGTGATTTTAACCAATGTCGCCCCAATCAATCTAATTTAAAGGTAAAACAATAACATAGATGGAAGTGAAATAAAGGCCAGGTTATATTTTGGGATCATGGATTTAAAAAATAAATAAATAAAAACAGACGTGAGCATCCCTTCTACAATGAGGGGCAATGACATGGCTAAAATGCTGCCTGTTTCAACTGTCAAAGCTAGATGGCCCGTGTGAGCCCCTGTAGGTGAAACACAGCCTTCCTCAAGAAAGCCGGCCTCCACGTGATGTTCCAGAACCACACCTGTTTCATACGCAATGGAGACCCTTCTTCACCCAATTCTCGCAGCCTGAACTCATCCCGGGCCAGAGGTCAGAGGTCACTGGGAGAGGTCAGCAGAGGCTCTACCAGAAGGAGGAGGCAGTAACCTCCCGGCCCCCTCTGGAAGTCTGGAGTGTCACCGCGGGGACTGACGGAGCAGGAGCCCTCCCGACTCAAACACACCCCAGTCCATGCCCAACCCATCCCCAAACAGCTCTGCTATCACTGCCTTTTGAGGGCCCCCAACACTGCAGACTAGCTGGGTGAAAAACATGGCTACTTCCAAAGAGCAAGATAGGTTTCCTGCCCCTGCCCATGGTGCTTTGCTATAAAGAGAAGCAACGTTCTTCGAGACCTACTTCCACCCGATTCTGAAAGGAGCAGGAGAAACGTGAGAAGCCTTACCTGTACTCGGCCACCCCTCCTGCGTGTTTCTTCATCGCTGTTTCAGAGCTCATCCCGTAGAAGAGCTTGAGCTTCTGCCCGTCCCTCTCAATCACCTCTCCCGCACACTCGGTGTGGCCCGAGAACATGCCTCCGAGCATCACAAAGTCTGCTCCGGCTCCTACACGCCGAGCGAGGGACAGGAGGAAGCAGCAACGGAAAGAGCTCAGAGAAAACGGGCTCTGGAAAGATCCAGGTGCTACCCCCACTCACTCTCCCGCCACCAATAGCTATCGTCCAGAGAGAAGCCCATCTCTCCCCTCCTACAAACTTCACAAGGGCCAGTCCTCAGTCATTAACAATGAGCACCTTCCCAAGGTTGGACTTAGAATCAGAGAAATGTTAGCAATCGAGCAGCATTTTAGGCTGCCCGCTGTCATCTTCTCCTTAATGCAGTAACTGCTCTACACGGTCCCCCCAGGCGTCTGGTCTACCTTCAGCTCTCACACGCTCACGCTGTGCAGGTCGTGAGACCTCGGAACAGACTGAACCTCCTATACTGGACTGGCATGAAGGAGAGAAACCTGCACGTATGTGTGTATGCATGTATATGCATCGTGTAAAACTCTACCTCACACCTCTGTTGTGATGTTTGCCTTCTAGGATAAATAATATCCCATATTAATCACCAAATGGCATGAGACTTCCAGGCTAGGTGCAGAGGACACAGGGGTATGGAAGCTGCCTTTGAAGGCTACATTGGAACAGGGCCAGGAGCAGCTGGAACAACAAGACTGGCCACTGCTGTGTCCCCAGGGTCTGTCACAGTGCATGGCACATGGGAGAAGCAAATGCCTAGTTGTCGAGGAAGTAAAGGGTGTGTGTGAAGAAACAGAAACAGTTCTCAACCCCACCCTGTCCATAGATCACTGTGCAGACAGGGTCTCCACCGACTGCTACAACCTGCCACAAACCGCTGCAGCTGCTCCCCAGAAAGTCCTAGTGAGGGTGCACATTCGGAACACGAGGACACCAGGGTACAGAGGTACTAAGTCATTAGAATGAAGGACAAGGAGGAGCAAGCATAGGAACCCCTGAAAAGTGGCTGTGACCTCTTCCATCTGGTTGTTTATTAGTAAATAGTTATAAGAGGACTGAGGGGGTGGGGGGAGGGTGCGGCCTTACAGTCCCTTCTGCACAGCATCACTGACAGGCAGGCTGCCCCAGCAGGCCCTTTGGCCCGCACCACAGGGCCTTCCCACCTGCAATCAGCTTTGAGGCCATTCCTTGCGGGGTGCCTAGCACAGATGTTGGCTCCGTGGCCCCTGCGCCATGATTATAAGGCGACTGAGAAAGCTGGTGTCCGCCAGGCCCCCGATGACCACAGCCCGGGAGCAGATGGAAACACAGGAGCACAGACACAGGTCCTCAATGGCCCTTTGAAGTGGCTTCTAATTAACCTCATTTCTGACCCCTCTCACGGCCTTTCCCACCAGCACGTTCCCTGACCCAGTCCCTCTCCTCACGCTCTCCCAGCTCCCCCTGCACTTGCTGGAAGGGAAGTTGATGAGGGAGTGGACGCCAGGAACCTTGCTCAGGCCTGCTATCTACGAGGCTCCTTCTTTGGGACAAGGCACTTTAAAGTGTACTCGGCTCCCACTCGGAGCAGGGAATGCATGCACCATGAGCAGGAGCCCAAGATGGAACGCCTACCAGCACTGAGAAGATGCTGCTCAAAAATCAACAGTAGAAATGTCCTTGGCCAGTGGTCCTTCCATCGAGGTGACTGAGCATGCCAGGAGCGCAGGAGGCCTGTGTGCTTCCTGCTCTGCCCTGAGGGTGGGACCCTGACTTTGTCATTTGCCTCTTGGAGCCTTGTCCCTGGGACATTCTCCAGGGTTGCTACTAACCCAGCTGCTGAGAACACTGCCCCATGTTTCCTTTGGTCACGATCAGTGTTTAAAAACAGAATAAGAGCCAGTGCCCAAGCCTAGGCCATTCTAGGGGGTGAACTTTAACCAGTGACGGGGAGGCACACGGGTGAGGGGAAGAGCCACAGGCATCCCTCACGTCAGAAAGTTTCCCTTCATCAAGAAAGAACAAATAAATCAACCGCAAATGTGACTGTGAGGTCAGGAAAGGAGGGTGGAGCCGCGGGAGTTTGGTTTCTGCCTCCTGCCAGTCAATACACAGGGCGCCCACTTCACAGGCTGGGGAGCCCAGCTGTGCAGGCAGCTCTGACTTCTGAACAAGGAAGTTTGCACGGGTTAAGCTGGGGGGCGGGGGGGGGGGGCGGGCGTGTGCACAGCATGTTGAGGTGCTGAGGTGCTTTCCTGAGAACAACCCACCAGGCTCACAGCTGGACACTGCTGCCCCCTAGTGGGGAACGGGCTCCTCAGCCTCCTGTAAGAAACTGCTTCTGAGAAGCCAACCCCGCTATGGGGTTTCCCCACAGACCCTCCCTGTAGTTACTGCGTATCTGGACCTGGTACTGTCCTTTCTTCAGGGGCCTGAGCCTTCTCAGCTGTGATTTCTGAGCCGTGACTTCACCCACCCCTGGCCTGCAGGATGCCATCCCTAATTCTATCCCTGGGTGCTCGCCCGGCTCTGCCACAAGCCAGAATGAAACTGATGCCAGGGTTTGGGCCAGTGGGGCCTGAAATCCAGGGAGAGGACACTCGGGACTGACCCAGAACATCCCTGCAGGTCCCACCTCCTCCTTCCAGATCCCACCCCGTTCCAGGTTCCCACCCCACAGCCAGCTCACAGCGTCAGGGCGCTCCCTCCCGCCCTCCATTCTCCTCACCAAAGGCTTTGGCGACATCTCCTGGACACGTGCAGCCTCCATCCTTCAAAGAGGAGAGAGCAACAAGGATGTCAGTGGGAGCTCACCAGGCCCTCCCTCTCCCCTGGGGTGCTGGGAGTTGATACCCATACCCACACCCCAGCCAAGTATACAACCCTCAGAGCCAAAGCCCAACACTCCCCTCAGCAGGCACCTTCCACCCCAGCCCTGCCCTCTGCCTGGGAAGGTGCTAGACAACAGGGGGGCTCCGACCTCCTCCCCCACCAGCCCCTAACCCAGCACGCCCAGCCACCCGCCCTCCAAGTTCACTCTCATTCAGTAGTCAACTCTCCCCACCTGCCTGGTGTGAGGCGAGATTTATTTAGTACAAGGGCTGAATTATTTTAAGAGCCAGAAAGGACACTGAGTTCGTTCCTTTCTGTTTCCAGGCACTTCGTGTTTCTAATTCCCCTTCATGTAATGTGCCCAGTTACCTTAGTCTGACACCCACCCTCCCCACCCAGCACAGCCTGTTATCCTGGGCTGCCCGGTGGGGTTATGTTTAAACACCAGCAACGCAGTACCCGGTTCCCCGGATGCAAAGCCACTGTGCTTCCTCACGTACACAAAGGGCACTGCGTGACCAGGCTCCCTGCTATGCGCAGTGTGGCTGTGTGGGGTCCAAGCAGGCGAAGGGCGTGAGGGTGGTCTGGAGCAGTAGCCAGACCCACAGGGAGAGGCCAGGAGGCAAACACACGGGGCAGGCGGGCTGGTGCTCAGGGCAGCGAGATGTGACAGAGCCCAAACTCAGTGCAGGTCTTGGAGAAACAGCAGGTCTCAGAGGGAAGGGCCTGTTGCCCAAAGGTGGGACCCGCCCTCAGATTGGCAAAGAGCACTGGGAAGAACACAGACCGCCTTGCTTTGCAATTGGCAGGAAGGTGGGTGAGCTGCTGGAGTTTCCCTTTCAAAGGTACAACCCGTATGCCCTTCACGTGTCCTGCCAATTATTTTTAAAGTGCTTTACCTCTTTATCTAAACCAGGACAACACAATAGGGTTTCAAAGCTATAACCTCAACAGATGATATAAACTCATGCTTCTGTTAAAATAGGTCCCTAACAGCCCTGGCTGGTGTTGCTTGATGGTTAGAGCATGGGCCTGCATATGGAAGGGTCGCAGGTTCCATTCTGGGGCAAGGACATGTACTGGGTTTCGTGTTTGGGGAGCATGCCGGAGGCGACCAGTCAATGTGTCTCCTTCACATTTGATGTTTCTTTTTCTCTCCATCCTCTCTCTCTGAAAAAGTAATGGAAAAGTATCCTCTGGTGAAGATTAGCAACAAATAGGTCCCTAACAATATGTGACTTTAAACACACACACACACACACACACACACACACACACACACACACACCTTACGCCTTTTGCTCACTTGCTTGTGAGTAAGTAGCCTGTAACTGCTGGGGTGTCTCATGTGGGGCCCTGAAATTCCACATCAGTGGTCAGTGATGAGGCCTCAGAAGACCTGAGCTGCCAGGACCCTGAGAACGTGGGCTCTGCTCCCAGGATGGACCGGACGTGCAGTGAACAGGACTTGTGCGTGCTGGAGAGAGAAGTCACACTCCCAGCATCCTCTGCTCGCTGTCTGGGTGCCCGCCATGAAATAGACACTGCAGAGCAACATGCTGATGACACGTCACCCAGTGCACCCCAACGTCACATCATGCCTCAGGGCACGGCGGTCGCTCCCTGCTACCATTTACAGGTGATTCCCAAACTTGTTCAAGGCATGATTTCATGTTCTCAGGAGGCAGAGCAGTAGGGACAACCCCCTGAGACCCGAGGAAGACAGTGATTTTCATCCAGAAGCATTCGTAGCTGCTGGAAGCTTGTTTTAAAGAAAGTGTGCAGGGCTTGCTCCAGCAGCACATGTACTAAAAGAGCGTGCAGACACTCAGAGGGTTGCTCGTTTTGTGTTTCAAGAGTGTTAACATTATATATTAGTAGGAAAGGCACCACATCGCATGAGTGCTGTTCAAGCTTACCTCTTCTTTAAAAAATAAAGAAAAAAGAAAAAGACTTGCTCATCCATAAAATAAGGGGTAGAAAAAGCAAGCATGGGGTAGGCAGAAGAAATTTGAATCAAACACCTACTATAAGCCAGGAACTATTCCAAACTTCCCTTGTCTATTCAATCACCACAAGAACCTGAAGTTGATATTTTGTAAAGGGGGGTGGGGAGGTAAGGGGGGCTCAGGAAGGTTGCGTGACTTGGCCAAGGTCACACAGCTATAATAACAGAAGAACAAGACGAGAACCGTGGTTCAGAGAAAACTCTAAAAATGTCTAGAAGCGTACCTACCAAAACGTTAGCAGTGTTTATCCTAAGACAGTGATGGCGAACCTTTTGAGCTCGCCGTGTCAGCATTTTGAAAAACCCTAACTTAACGCTGGTGCGGTGTCACATATAGAAATTTTTTGATATTTGCAACCATAGTAAAACAAAGATTTATATTTTTGATATTTATTTTACATATTTAAATGCCATTTAACAAAGAAAAATCAACCAAAAAAATGAGTTCATGTGTCACCTCTGACACGCGTGTCATAGGTTTGCCATCACTGTCCTAAGATGATGTCAGTTCTAGTCATATTTATTTCCTTTACCTTTATTTGCATTTTCTAACTTTTTCTAAGCTAAACCTACTTTTGGTGGGGAAATTTCCGAACCTAAAAAAATTATTTGAAAGAATTTGTGTAGGTATTTCTAAATAAAGGTCTAGCTGTTTCTAAAGTCCTACATTAAATCAATAAAATTATAGGAAATTTGCTGATCAACCTTTACTTCTTGGCCAAGGGTCAATGAGGGGAAGAGGGCACTGCCTGGGTGTAGGGAAGGAGAAGGTGGGGGCTGCTTTGAATCAACCGACCCTCTGTCATGAACAGAACCTCACAACCTCCGTGATAAGCATGTTGAGCACGAGTAAAGAAGAGACAATACTAATCCCAGTCAGCCTAGTCACAGGCCTTTTTTAGGTCCTGTGAAGCGCTACAAAGCCCAAGCCATTTGGGTTGTTGGTGCAAATCCCTCCCCTTCCAATGGTTCAGTGAGTGCTAATTCCTGACTCTGTGCTTGAAGACTCTGAAGGGAAAGGGTCTTGGTATCTATAATAATAAAAGCATAATATGCTAATTAGACTGGACAGCTGAACAACCTTCCAGACGACCTTCCGGACGAAGCCGGGGCTGCGAGGGCCGAGGCAAGCTGCTGCGGCTGCGAGGGCCGAGCCCCTTGCATGAATTTCGTGCATCGGGCCTCTAGTAGAACAGATGAAGCTGAAGTCTCCCAAAGCAATGTGGTGGGAACATGGGCAGGCCTGGGGTCCTGCAGAACCTGCACTCTTTGTGACTTCAGCAAGCCCTTCACCTGCTTTGAGTCTCCTTATTTTTAATGACGAAGGTCAGGGGAGAAAGTGGAACCCTGGAGATGAACAGACTTTGGTCTGAGTGCTGATTCTGCCGCCCACCAGCAGTGTGACCCTGAACAAGTTACTTAAGGACTCCAAGCCTCAGTCTCCTCACCTGGGACGATTACTAATTGTGTGTGTCACCTTGACTGGTTAAACATTAACCTCATATTTCTGTGGGGTGTTTGTGGATAAGAGTCACATTTAAACAAGTAGACTGAGTAAAGCAGATCGCCCTCTCTAATGTGGGTGGGCCCCATCTAATCAGTTGAAGGCTTAAATGGCACAAAAAGGTTGACCCTTCTCAAGAGAACTTTTCCTAACTGGCTGCCTTTGAATTGGGAAGTGAGCTTTTTCCTCCTGGTTCCAACTGAAATATTGGCTCTTCCTGGTTCTCAGGCCTGCAGACTCAGACTGAACTCCACCATCAGCTTTCTCTAGCTTGCCGAGTCATCCTGCAGATCTTGGCACCTGTCACCCTCCATAAGCACATGAACCAGTTCCTTCCAATAAATCTCTCACTCTCTCTCTTTCTCTCTCTCTCTCTACACACACACACACACACACACACACACACACACACACACACTCTACTGGATGTTTGTCTAGAAAACCCTGACTAACACGCCTATCAAAAGATAACAGCTACCCACAGTTGTTCCAAGGATTAAAGATTATATGTATGGTATGCCTGGCAGATAGTAGATGCTCAATAAATGATAGCCATTACTTCCTCCAAAGTTGTTTCCACCTTTAAAATCCTCTCCTTTGTGTGATGTCTTTAGCAGATGACAAGACAGAATTAACTGGTCACACCTTCATCTTTACCTACACGGGGGCAGGGGGAGGATTCCTGAATTTTTTAGCTCTCTGCCTCTCAGAGCCCATGTGGGCCACAATAAATAGAAATCTGACTCAAGTCCAGCCTCTTGGGTGTAAGCACCTGCTGAACAGACTATGCTGTGGCTTCCTTCTGCATGTCACTAGCGTGGATGTGCTAACTCAGCAGCTAAGGGGGGAAATGAGACAGCTGGAAGGCAACTGGACGGAGTGGCAGGATCCAAAATGTCTGATGGGTTTCCAGTGGGGTTAGGACAGCCGGTGATTGGGAGAAAACTACTTGTGAAACTCCATTAGTCAAAGGGATGGTGGGTAAAATGGCGGCTCTGAAGCCTAAGACACTCAGCTGGGCAGAAGGAAGGAGCTGAAGTCAAGCCTACAGACCCCACATAAGTCTGCGAACTTCATTTGATCAAACTGAACTCCTAACCCCATCTAGGAAACCTCTCCCGTTAATGGGAAGTTAAGACCCTCGGAGCACCAGGCCACACTGCCCCCAGCTGACAAGTCCGCTCGTTCCCTGGCGCTAGCAGATGAGACCTGCCTCTCGAACAGTGACCCGAACTACAGAAGCCAAGCCAGCAGTTCTCAGTCTTGATAGCACATCAGGAGCACCTGGGGGGCTTGTGAAAACAGACTCCAGGGCAGGGGTGGGCAAACTTTTTGACTCGAGGGCCACAATGGGCTCTTAAACTGGACCGGAGGGCCGGAACAAAAGCATGGATGGAGTGTTTGTGTGAACTAATATAAATTCAAAGTAAACATCATTACATAAAAGGGTACGGTCTTTTTTTTTTTAGTTTTATTCATTTCAAACGAGCCGGATGCGGCCCACAGGCCATAGTTTGCCCACGGCTGCTCCAGGGCCTCACCATCCGCGTTCCAGATTCGGGTCTGGATGGGATCCGAGTGTCCCTAACAAGTGCTCAGTTCATACTGATGCTGCTGTTCTGGGCACCGCGCTTGCAGAACTGCTGAAATAAGCTAGAAACTAGGTGTGCTGTGCACGGAGCCCAAACCGATTGCCGTCAGTCACTGCGGTGCTAGCAGAGCCTCCACCCCTCCCACAAACGGTCCCGTGAACTAAGCAAGTGTGACATTTCTGGAAAGGCACACGTAGGGGATCATGGAGTGTGTTCATAGTAAACCTACGAATTTGACCTCCACCAATTTGGAAATGATAGCCATTCAAGGTGTACAATAGAGAATCTGAATTCTGATTAAGATTCTTGATGGTAATAGAGACTTATGGCTGATGAGACATGGTGCATTGAGGGCCAACCTCTGAAAAGTCAAATTCACCAGGATGGGGTCCAGGAATGTCAACTGTACAAAGCTTCTCAGGTGATTCTCATGCAGTCAGCCCAAGAAAAGGCTACTGTGAGCCTCTGAGAACCACGGGCACACTGGAGAGAGTGCAGTCTGATGACTTCTCGGTCAGTCACCTCACTCAGCAAATGCAGGATGACAACTTTGTGTCAGCCTCGTACACACTAGTTGTTTAATAAGTGGCTGTTAATTTGTTCGTTGTGGCAAAAGCTAAAGGGAAGGGCCTTGAGAGGAGGCCTTAGAACTCCGTCTGCAACCAATCAACCTCAGTCATTTACCAGCTTCTAGCACACAGTAGAAGCTCAATGAAGACTTGCCGACTGGATGGATGGGTAGATGAAAGGCCTGAAGAATTAGGAGCCCAGGCAATCAGCTCTAGAGCTGGAGTTAATGACCTGCCTCCTGGCTTAGTTGTTACCTGGAGACCACAAGTGGGGAAGCAACAGCTGCAGCTCAGGCTGTGATAAGGCTCAAGGGGGACAATATGCATACGTGACGTTTAATGAGTGTTAGCACACCCGCCAAGCAGGTCCAGGAATCAAACCTCAACAGCTGAAATGCTGAGCCAAAATCAACAAGATATCATTTCCCAGAGATATGAAATTCAAAGCATTTGGACTTAAAAAAAAAATAACCTAGCATTTAATGTGGGAGCATAGCTTAGCAACTGAAAAGATCTGAAGATTTAATTTACTATATTCAATATGAGTCCATTGTTATAGAACCACTAAAACTATGTCACTACTTCAGAATTTGTACAAAAACAAAACAAAATTTCACATATGCATCATCCAATAAACGGAAGCCATGGTTCTATCTGAGTTGGTCCAATTGGTATGGACACGCGCTGTCCTGTCTGAGCACCTCATGTAGAAGGAGAGAGACAACTCTCTCCAACTCTGCACTGTGGCCATGGCAATAAGGTGGAGTAGAATTACAGATAAAGTGAGGATTTCATCTCGATATCCATTCAATCCCCTGAGCACTCTGGAAGTGTTCTTCCAGGAGCTTCATGAAAGTGTCAGGCCACTGTCTCTGCCTCCCCTCACCTCCTTCCCGTACTCGTCTCAACCCGCAAAAATCTAACTGCTGCCCCCACCACGCCACCGCATCTGCTCTCTCTCTGGCACCTGCTGACCCGCTGGCACATCCGCACCGCTGAGATGTGATCAGCGAAGGTGAGGTCAGCCTGAAGGAGGACAGGACGGGCTTCTAATCCAAGGACTGATGTTCTTATAAGAAGGATAAATTTGGACACAAAGACAGACATGCACACAGGGAGGGCACCGTATGAAAACTGCAATTATGGTGCCACAAGCCAAGGAACTATCAGAAGCTCGAGAGGCCTGGAACAGAGACTTCCCAGAGTTAGAGTGTCCGTGGCCCTGCTGACACCTTCATCTCGGACTTCATCTGAGGCCTCCTGGCTGTGAGACAACACATGTCTCTTGTGTAAGACCCCATCTGGGGCGGCCCTCTCACTCCCTCAACGCTCCCCACCTACCCTCCATCGTGCTGCCTACCACTCTGAGTTGTTACTGACCAGAATTCTTACTCATGTGCCCACCTTGCTCACTGTGTGAGCTGTGACCACATACTGCTCACTCCCTGGCCCACAGGATGCTGCTGGGTGAAAGGCGACTGGAAGCAGGGCTGCCTCGGAGCCTGCAATCCTGAGATGCCCCCTCCCCTTCCCCCAGCCCCGCTTGGAGACTTACAGAGATGATGTGCCCCTTCAGGCCGTGGGCAGAGTCTGCGCATTCAATCACGGCACTCAGCTGGGGGTACCCCACCCCCGTCTTGGTGCGGGTGGTGCACACGGAACCTGGATGGAAGACAGAGATGGTTCATGGATGAGCAGAATGGGACACAACATGAGCCTCCCTCACTGTCACATGGCAGAGGAGAGGCGCGAGGAGGGACTGCCCAGCAACTCCACAGAGATGGTTAAAAGTGCGCTGTGTGGCCGTGCAGCCCTTCGCGTCCTCAGAGCTGTCACCTGCTCACATCCAAAACACAGCCCACCCCATAACCTGCCACCGTCACTCTCCCCTACGACAGCAGCTCCCCTTCCTGGCCGAGCACTGACTCTCCACACTTAAGCTCCCATCCCTTCTCGCCGTCCTTCCCTCTCCCACACAAACATACTACATTTCAAGGGACCTCCTCGATTCCTCCCACAGCCTCCAGCCTCTGGACTTTCCACTTTTGTCAAATTACTTACTTCTCCAGGCCTCCAGGCCTCGCCTGTGGCATGGAAATTAAAACATTGGCCTCACAGGGTAGAAATTAAATGGCATAGGGAATAAAATCATTTGGCCCAGTACTTGGCACTAACCCTAAGCCTGTCCCCTCACCCTCACTCTCACCCAAGTCTGTCCTCAACATGCCCAGCCTGCTGCTCTCCATGATCTCACAGTCCGCCTCCAACCCTGTCCGAATCCGCATCCAGCTGGGCTCCGAGGTCAGCCTCCACTCAGGACCCACACAAGCCGCCTAAATGCCTTTGTCCTCTTGGCCTCTGTCTTTCCCACGGCCACGGCCAGTCCTGGTCGCCCATCCCGTCATCCCAGTTAGGTCCCAGCCAAGTCACGCCAGAGGCTCCCGCAAATGCCTGCTTGCTCCAGACCCACCCTTCCTCCCAGCAAGTGTACACCCTGCTCCGAGACACCCAATCAAACCCCCGGGGAACCGCCCCTCCCGCTGCCCACACTCCAGCCACTCTGACCTTCCAGTTCCTCCTGTACAGCCAGTTTCTTCCCACCTAGGGAGTCTCTGTACATGATGTTCCCTGTCCAAACACTCCCCTCTGCATACCCCCTATGCCCCCCTCCCTGTCTTGCCAACCCTTTCTCATCTTCCAGGCTTCATCTTAAATGTCACTGCCTCAGGGAAGTTGTTCTCACTGCATTCATTTAAAAAAAGAGGCACTTAAACAATTATTTGTGTCAGAACCAAGGACCAGTGTTCTCTGCTGGTTGGTAGGCTGCTGGATGCTCTGTCCTGCAGAGCAGTGGTCGACAAACTGCGGCTCGCGAGCCACAGGCGGGGCTCTTTGGCCCCTTGAGTGTGGCCACAAAGTTTCAATCGCACTGTACGTGTGCACCGTTATGTGGTATTTTGTGGAAAAGCCACACTCAAGGGGCCGCAGTTTGCCACCACTGCTGTAGAGCACTGAGAATAGAGCCCGGACCTAGAGCGCTGCAAATAGTCACCGAAAGCATCTGAGAGTTCAAGAATGGATCAGTCACCCACATCCCTGGCGCCACTGCCTCACACTCAGCCAGTTCCTGCTGGAGGTCCCCTGGTGTCAACAACGGAGTGCCCTAAACCCCTCCTCTGCCCGCCAGCGCTGGGGGTGAGGTGCTCAGAGCCCCGGCCTCCTCTCCCGCTCCCACCCCACCAGCAGCTTCACAGCGTCCCACAAATGTCTCCCAGGCGTCCTTAGGAACAGGGTCAGACAGAGAACCATGCCCATACTCCCAGGCCTCGCTTCCCCAAGAAAACAGGATAGGAGAGCCCCTTCTCCTGCATCTATCCTGCTGCAGGCCGAGACCCACCTCTTTACGTCCATCCCTTCCATGTGCACTCACAATCCTGGAGCCAACCCGTGCGTGCGCTGTGTGAGGCAGAGGCACAGCTTCATCATCTCCGGCTCTGGGTCGGAACTGGCTTTAGCCCTCTTCCCCCTCAAGTGCTAGATCCTCAAGGGAAGCAGGGGCCTCGGTGCAGAGGCCCAGAGCTCCGCACAGGTAAGGAGAGGGCAGGGGAGAGGTCTTTTTCTAAATATTAAATATTTAATATGAAATTATTTAAATTTAGTTAAGGTTAGAGTTGTACTTTTTGATGGTCGGCATTTCCATGTGGCTCCTAGGAGACCTCAAACAGTCTTCTACCCAATCAGAGCAGTAAAAACCTCCTAAATGCAACACGTTTTTGAAAGATCTGCTTTGCTCTCTTCATTTCTAGTTTCCGAGTCTACTCTGAGGATGGCACCTGCCCAGACTCTGTGAGTCCAGCCCCGGGGTCCGCTCTGGACCCACGGCCCAGAGAAGTCCTCTCCGGGGGCAGGCAGGCTCCTCTCAGGACTAAGGTGGGCGAGGACCTGATGAACCCCCAGGTTAAAGCGAGAAACTGGGCCCATATTTCTCCCAGTCCTAGCAGCAGGGGCACCCAAGTTCAATGCTTTCTCCCAGCTCCTGGGAGTTATTCATTAATGGACCTTGTTTAGTGCTGTCATTTACATACACATTACTCAGTGTTTGCACTCGAAAGAATTTGTGAAATGTCAATATAATCTCCAATTAAATTAAAGAAGCAGCTCCAATACGTCAGGCTCAAAGGGAGCCACTGATCCTGCTCAGTCACGGCTGTTCCAGACAGACAGCCAGGGGTCACACGGTGCCCGCGGGAGGGCAGTCAGTCTCCAGGGAAACACACAGAGGACGCGCATGCAGACACCGCGCACAGCTGAGTGCCCGAGATCACATCAGGAACGGCTCCTCCAAGAATGCTGTGCGCCCCCACATGCCGTACAGCACCCACCCGCACAACGGCAGCCACAGGACACTCAACACGTGTTTCTGATTAAACAGGTAGCTGGCGCGCTCCCCTGCCTTAGGAGCAAGAGTCCTGCAGGTCTACTTCCAGCCTGTTCTATTCTATTACAAGCCTGGCCTATTGCAGCCCGTCCTAAGCGGGAGCTCCTTGTAAGCAGGAGCTGGGCCTTATCCTTTTTTTGACTTTCAACAACAACAGACACTCAGTAAAGACCAGAGTTGTCTTTCCTGTTGTTCAGAGCGGAGGTCGCCAACCGGTGGTCTGCGGACCACTGGTGGTCCATGAGGTCCGGAAGGTTGGCGACCGCTGGCTCAGAGTGTGTTACAAATTGGCTTAGGTGAGTGGCAATAGAAAAAGCCCAATCTTGACACTCTCCTGTGTGTTAATGGCTCAGGGGCCTGATTGGGCCTATAGGGCTCTTCTTCCATCACAGTCCCTCATGGCTCTCCTTTTCTCTCAAGGTTGACAAGTGTGTGAATCACAGCCCAAAGATGTCTTCTCCCAGCAGCACTTACCCACATGCTTCTCCTGTTAGCTTATGATTTGCTTCCTTTTTTGGTAATGTTTTTTTGGGTAGGCAATATTTTTTAAAACTATGTTTTTATTTATTTTTAGAGAGAGAGGAAGGGAGTGGGATAGAGAGACCATGGATGAGAGAGAAACATTGATTGGCTGCCTCCTGCATGCCCCCTGCTGGGTGGGGATCGAGCCCACAATCAGGCATCGAACCAATGAAGTCTTGGTTCATGGGTCGATGCTCAACCTCTGAGCCACACCAGCCAGGCTGGGTAGGCACTATTTTTTTTTCAGTCTTTGCTGTTTTTATTCCCAACTGAAAATGTGTATCTTCTTTCCTTGGCTCCCATTTTAGTGTCTGGTTAATAATGAATATGAAGGAAGAATTTAAAAACACGGAAGCTCAGCTCAGGTATGGCCAGAGGGGACAGTGAATGCCAACTGGCCCCGAGAGAAAGTGGAGCCACCAGTATAAGAATAGAAAGGCTCCACCTTGTTCCCTCAAGACACCAATGAGCAGTTTTAGGAGAGGGTGCCAAGAAGAATTGGGCAAATCTGATATGAATATGTACCAAGTGAGAAGCCCAAGTGCTAACTACCTGGGCGACACATGGGTCAAGTTCAATATGGCCTCACAGCCACATGCTACTTGCAGTGTTTGGGGTCCCTCAAACACTCACGGAAACCTGAGTTATTCATGTCCACGAACTGTCCCAGGGATTCTTCAGCCCTCATCTTCCTCTTCACAGTATATGTGGTCATGAACGAAATCTGCATGTTTCTCTTCCACAGTTACACTCTAAAACAGTGATGGCGAACCTTTGACACGCAAACTCATTTTTTTGGTTGATTTTTCTTTGTTAAATGGCATTTGAATATATAAAATAAATATCAAAAATATAAGTCTTTGTTTTACTATGGTTGCAAATATCAAAACATTTCTATATGTGACACGGCACCAGAGTTAAGTTAGGGTTTTTCAAAATGCTGACACGCCGAGCTCAAAAGGTTCACCATCACTGCTCTAAAACCTGGACCTCACATCCTAACCACTCCTACGCTCCTTGACAAGTTACCCGGGGGCATCAGATGGCAACTCAATGACATTTCTAATGAGGAGCTTCTGTGGAAGCTCAATGAGATCCAAAAGAAATGTACTTTAAACTTGTGGGTGGGTCACTCGTGGGCTCCCTTCTGGCCATCTCCAGCCCCTGTGAGCCCCAGACCCCATTCCTCCCCGCACACACACACCCCCTGCTGTTCTCCTGGCAAGTCTTACCTGGTCCAACTCCCACTTTGATTATATCTGCTCCGGAGAGAATCAGCTCTTCCACCATCTCCCCTGTCACCACGTTCCCCGCCTGAGACAGAAAGAACACAGCTCACGTCATGAACTGCTTCTGGTGGCACAAAGATGAATGAGGGAGGAACTCACACCTGGATATAATCATGAGCATATCCCAAGCCACCAGGCAACGAGGGAAACAAACGAAAGAAAGAAAGAAAGAAAGAGAGAGAGAGAGAGAGAGAGAGAGAGAGAGAGAGAGAGAGAGAGAGAGAGGGAGGAGGGAGGGAGGGAGGGAGGGGAAAAGGGGGCTGCGGGGGTGAGGAGAGAAAATATGGGATCCTATAGGAGCACAGAATTTGACACCCGGAGACTACATAGAGTATAAAACTCTATGATTTTACAACTCTAAGACCTTAGACCAGTGGTCGGCAAACCGCGGCTCGCGAGCCACATGTGGCTCTTTGGCCCCTTGAGTGTGGCTCTTCCACAAAATACCACATGCGGGCGTGCACGTACAGGGAACGGTGTGGAGTGAAAGAAGATGTAGTGTCAAGGATTGAGAAAGGTATGTTGAGATGGTTTGGACATATAGAGAGGATGAACGAAAGGAGATAGACAAAACAAGTATACAAGACGAGTTGGAAGGGGTCGACCTCAGCGAACGTACCTCAATCAGATTGAGGACATTTTTAGCAAAGGCCAGCTTAGGAGTACCCTAATTAAGTTAATAACAATGTACCTACCTATATAGTTTAAGTTTAAAAAATTTGGCTCTCAAAAGAAATTTCAATCATTGTACTGTTGATATTTGGCTCTGTTGACTAATGAGTTTGCCGACCACTGCCCTAGACTATCTAGGTCAGTACTTTGCAAACATTTCAGCAACAAGCAAAACAAAACCCTACAGAGAACAAATACATAAAATAAGCTCTGCAACACTCAGCTGATTCAAATCTTGATTGTTGGGCATAAAATGCATCACAGATTGTAAAACCCCTGAAGAACCTTTGTGGAGCCCCAGGGGCCAAGATCAGGAAACCGCTGGTCATCTCACAGCTGGGAAGACACCCGTGTATCCGCCCTCGGGTGAGAGGTTCCCACCCAGATAGGAAAGGGCAGAGGAGCCCCCGTGGACCAACAGCACTGGAACCGGCTCTGTTTTCAGAACACGAAGCTGTGACCCTAATAAAAGATATGTAAGCCAGGACATGGCAGCATCTGAAAACCAGAGGCTGCCTCTGGACTGGAAATAGCACCAGTTCTCTCACTGCGGGAGCCTGGGAGCCCTTTCTGACAGCTGACTGTCCTGTGGATTCTTCAGCTGGTGCACAGACGTGGTGCGATGCCTGACTGAATTTTCACAACGGCACAAAGTCTTATTTTGGGAAATGGATCCTTACTCATGCCACTCATTTTTTTTTTTTAATTGAAGTCCCACTGTCTTTCATTGAATTGATTCCCAGGGGGAATTTTTCTTTTTTGACCAACACAAAGTGACTCTTAACTTTGTATGAAATTATCTTGAGAAAGGGCGATAAGGAGGGCTCAAAGCTGCTTTAATCCAAGCAGCATCTGACAATCAAAAATGATAGATGGTCCAGAAAGAGGGCTCCAACATATGAGAATTGTGTTATGGGTCAGTGAGGAGAGGAATCATATTTCAAGAGACTGAGCTGGGAAAGGCATCTTTTGAGAACAAATACAGATTATTACTCATACTTTTCACCAAAATAAGCTTCAGGTGGATTACAGAGTCAAACTAAAAGTTTTATCCCCCCCAAACTTAGAAGAAAATCTTGAATACTTATAATAACCATAAAAGAGAGAGAAAAAACATAAACATGGATCTGCCCTGGCTAGTGTGCTCAACGGTTAGAGCGTCAGCCTGCACACCAAAGGGTTGAGGGTTCGATTCTCAGTCAAGGGCATGTACCTGGGTTACAGGTTCCATCCCCGCCCCTGGTTAGGGCATGTACTGGAGGCAACCAATCAATGTGTCTCTCATATCAATGTTTCTCTCTCTCCCTCCCTCCCTCCCTCCTTGCCTTCCTTCCTTTCATTCTCTAAAAGTCAATGGAAAAAATATCCTCAGGCCAGTATTAACAAAAACAAAACAACACACATAAACATAGATCTGTCTATCTGAAAATAAAAAACTTGTTCACATATAAACACACAAACTCATACATACAATCAACAAAACGAAGAGGCAAATAAGCTGGTGCAGAAAATGCCTGTAATTGTGACGAAGGGTTCCTGCCATAGGAGCTCTTCCAAATGTACAAGAAGAATGCTAACACCTCGCTGACTAGCTGCCAAAGGATGTGAACAAACTAATGAAAGAAATAAAATTGGCCAATACACACAGTGAAAGAACTGAACCTTACTAATAATTGATTTTACATTATGAGACCAGTGAGGTACCACTTTTCACTTCACAAATTACCGACAATTATGAACACAAAATGCTAAAGAGAAAACAGACACTCTTTCCCTGCTGGAGGAATGTCTATTTTAGTACAAGTTGTCTTAGGAAACAATGTATGCACACGGAAGAAATGCAAAAATTCGTACATCCTTTTACCCAATAAGACTACTTCTAGGATCCCCTCCCGAGGAGATAATCACAGGTGAGGTCACCGGACTTGACTACAAGGATGTTATTTACAACCGTGCAACACTGTGAGTGCATTCCCCCGAAGGGAATCAACCCAGGGCCTATCCAAGGGATGCTTTTAAGCTTCATTTACTGGCATGGGAAAACGCCCAAATGCTTCCAGTATAATATGGGGGAGACAAAAGGAAATAGTAAGCTCTCCACTTTGTTTTTAAAGAAAGACAACACAAGTATATGTATATATGAAAACATACACCCACATGCTAACAAATTATGTCTACATGGAAGGATTATCTGACTTTTAATCTTTTTTCTTTAAAATGTTCTAGATTTATAGTATAAATTGTATGACTTTTATTAAGCATGATTTTTTTTTTTGCTTTTGGTTTGTTTGGTTTTTTTTTTAAGCACAAGGACCCACATGAACTCTGTGCCCAAGAAAGAACTTAATAGAAATCTGAGAAACAAGACTCTCATTCTTCCTCGCTGGTTGACCTGCTGAAAAATAAAGCTTTAAAGTTTTAAAAATAAGATAAAAATAAATTTTTAAAAATAAAATTAAGAAATCAAAAACTTAAAGACACCACTTTAAGCTCCCCACATAATTTCATTTTCAATGTTGATTTCCACATCCACTTCCCCCCCGCCCCCCGCGCCCCAAGTCTGGTGCTGCCTACATATCATTTTATTTCAGAGGGCCTACTTCACAGAAAATAAAAGAAATAAAGTCAGCTCATGATGGACGAACCAGGTACAACCAGGCACAGTCTACGTTTCAAAGCTTGAGGACGACGATACTGTCTGGGTAGCCCAGAGGCTGGCACAGGTAGCTGAGGGGGTGGGAGGATACCTGTGTGGCTCCCTATGGAGGCCAGACCACAGTCTCCATAGAGGGCTGCTGGGTGGAAAAACCCCGAATGCCAGGACATGCCTCGAGCCTGAGGAAACACGACAGGAAGGCTGACAACGAATGGGAGAGGACGAGGGAGTTTCCACTTGCAGGAACAAAAAGTTTTCTATTCAAGTTCGAAATCAAGAAGGGCAAAGATAAGGGGGAAAGGAAAAGACAACATCAGAATGAGAATGGTGGCAGGAGTATGGCTGGGCTCCAGTGAAAGCTGCAGGCAGGCGAGGCAGCCCGGGGCCTGGGCTTGCTGGGCAGGGGAGTGGAGGGGGAGACTAGCGAGGAGCTTGCTTATCTTGGCCTGAAGCACCACGGGTGTGCAGTGGATATGGACTGTCCGAATGCGACCGCACCCAGCAGCACATCCGGCTGTCACTCAGGCAGCTCAGGAACGACCATTCTGGGGGCAGCCACAACAAAACGGAATCTCCAGACCCTTATCTGAGCACCAAAGCCAGCAAGTGGAGATTTCCACTGGGTCCCCCTCTCCCTGAGGGGCCACGTGCTGTCGGCAATGACTGCCCCTCCATTCAAGAAGGATGAGGACCCCAGGAAGAGACATAAAAGCAACAAAATGAACCTTCCCAGTACTTTTGTACCATTTAAAAAAGCCCTCTGGGCAAGACCCAAACCCCAAACTGTTTTGCTCCAGTTTTTCCAGCTTTCCTTTAGACCTGGACACCTATGGCCAAATAAGTTCAGAAAGACCTGGGTTCGAATGATGGACCTCCCACTCCCATGTAATCTTAAGAAAATCACTTCAATTCTGGTCTCCGTCCATGAGTTGCTATGACATCACTCATCGTGCCCACTCGCTGTTGTCCCTGTAAGGTTTACAAAGCTCTATGGATTCCTAGCACATGCCCATCTCTCAGCTGGGGCTCAGTAAAATGTTAATCCCTCCACTTCAGAGTGACTGCTATAGATTGCTCTTTCTTTCTTTCTTTCTTTCTTTCTTTCTTTCTTTCTTTCTTTCTTTCTTTCTTTCTTTCCTTTTTGAGTTTTAATTGTGGTCAAATATTTACAACATAAAATTTACTGTTTTAGTTATTTTTTAATAATTAAGTACATTCACATTATTGTGCAACCATGTCCACCATCCATCTCCAGAACTCTTTCATCATCCCAAATGAAAATTCTGTTCCCATTAAACGATAACTTCCCTACTGACTTTTATTGGCTCTTTTGAGGCCCTTTTCCAAGAAAAGTCCTTTCTAAGGAAAGAGTAAGGCAGGTGTCAGGCAGGGGTCAGCGCACAGCTGCACGCTGGATTTGCCTATGGGACCAGCCAACAGTGGCTGACCTGGCATTCCCCAGGGTGCTGAGCTGGGTGCCTGGTCTAATCTGAACAGCTTAGTTGTCACAGACCTTCTTCTTCATAGGACCAGGTCAGAAAGAGCAACCAGCCCAAAAGCATCTCTCAGACCCAATTCGGGGACCTCAGTGTCCCACCCAGCCTGTGTGGGCAGACAGGCTGGCTGCAGTGTGGTGTAAGGAAAAGATCACAGGGCCTGGAACAGGCTGCCTGGCTCCAAACTCCAGGCTCTGTGAT